TAGTTCGCTCAGATTCACTTGTTACTTCATCAGCTGTGATATCTATTGACGTTACCTCCTCTGCTGTTGTCAAATCACCAACTGTTGTCGATGGTATTGTTGTTATATCAATCAGTGTTGTTAGCTCAACTTCACTCGTTAAATCATTAGTTGTGCTATCCATTGATGTTAGCTCCTCTAACGTTGTCAAATCATCTACTGTCGTCGATGGTATAGTTGATGCATTAGGCAAGGTAGTTTGATCAGCATCACTCGTTACTTCAGCGGTTGTGATAGCAATGGATGTTACCTCCTCTAATGTTGTCAAATCAGCTACTATTGTCGACGGTATTGTTGTTGCATCAACAAATGTAGTTCGCTCAACATCGCTTGTCACTTCATCAGCTGTGATGTCTATTGACGTTACCTCCTCTACTGTTGTCAACTCACCAACGGCTGTCGATGGTATTGTTGTTATATCAATTATAGTTGTTAACTCAACTTCACTCGTTAACTCATTAGTTGTGATATCTATTGATGTTAGCTCATCTACCGTTGTCATATCATCTACGGTTGTCGACAGTATCGTTGATGCATCAAGCAAGGTAGTTTGATCAGCATCACTCGTTACTTCAGCGTTTGTGATAGCAATGGATGTTACATCCTCTAATGTTGTGAAATCATCTACTGTTGTCGACGGTATGGTTGTTGTATCAACAAATGTAGTTCGCTCAGATTCACTTGTTACTTCATCAGCTGTGATATCTATTGACGTTAGCTCCTTTGCTGTTGTCAAATCACCAACTGTTGCCGATGGTATTGTTGTTATATCAATTAGTGTTGTTAGCTCAACTTCACTCGTTAAATCATTAGTTGTGATATCTATTGATGTTAGCTCCCCTACCGTTGTCAAATCATCTACTGTCGTCGATGGTATCGTTGATGCATCAAGCAAGGTAGTTTGATCAGCATCACTCGTTACTTCAGCGGTTGGGATAGCAATGGATGTTACCTCCTCTAATGTTGTCAAATCATCTACTGTTGTCGACGGTATGGTTGTTGCATCAACAAATGTAGTTCGCTCAGATTCACTTGTTACTTCATCAGCTGTGATATCTATTGACGTTAACTCCTCTGTTGACGTTACCTCCTCTGCTGTTGTCAAATCACCAACTGTTGTCGATGGTATTGTTGTTATATCAATTAGTGTTGTTAGCTCAACTTCACTCGTTAAATCATTAGTTGTGATATCTATTGATGTTTGCTCATCTACCGTTGCCAAATCATCTACTGTCGTCAAAGGTATTGTTGATGCATCAAGAAAGGTAGTTTGATCAGCATCACTCGTTACTTTAACGGTTGTGATAGCAATGGATGTTATCTCCTCTAATGTTGTCAGATCATCTAACGTTGTCGACAGTATTGTTGTTGCATCAACAAATGTAGTTCGCTCAGATTCACTTGTTACTTCATCAGTTGGGATATCTATTGAGGTTACCTCCTCTGCTGTTGTTAAATCACCAACTGTTGTAGATGGTATTGTTGTTATATCAATCAGTGTTGTTAGCTCAACTTCACTCGTTAAATCATTATTTGTGCTATCCATTGATGTTAGCTCCTCTAACG